ACCATCGATGCCTGATTCTGCACCAGAGGAATACAAGAAACTTGCCGAGCGGTGTTGTGATGCTGATCCTGATAAGCATCCAGATGCATGGATACCTTATTCTGCTATTGGCAAGCTTATTAACGAGATTGACAAGGACAATTCTGATGACAACATGTGGAATGCCGTTTATCATAATGATGTAAAACCCTTATCACATCACGAGAAGGAGAGTAAATATTCTAGTAAGCGCCTACCTACTGGAGATCTGCCTAAACCAAGAAATAGCTATGATTTGGATTCAGCTGCAGGTATGAAGACAACAATTGGTTATTAATGGAGTCAATCTACAATATTAACATCGTCCACTGCGTATGATTTAGTGACTCAACCACTCTTTGAATAAACTTGTAATTCACGGGTCATTTACAGTTTGTACGCGTTTTATTCAAGGCTTACTCCTCTTCTAATTAAATGAATTAAATACTATATCCCTCCATGTATATCAATATGAGTTGAGTTAAAAATAAAATCGTGCATGTTACTGTTAGCTGCCTTTGCCGGGTTATCGTTTGAATAAAATACAGAGTACATTATTTAAAGTTTATGAAATTGGTAATGAGTTTGATGCTAATCGTTCCTGACTAAATAAATACGTAGTAACGGTTCGAAGCCTCATTGTCAATTTCAGTACCAGAAAGCCGTGCTTCCTGACATTGTTTTCATACCCAACTCATGCAGTCGGCCAATAAGGCAATGATAATGTTATTTAAAGCTTTGATAGACACGATAGCCACTTCATGACTAGAAAATGCAGACAAAAATCCTGGAGATGCGATAAAAGCAGATCTCGAGTCCAAGAATGCTGAAATATCTCAATAGCTTCGACGTTGTAAGTTTCTACGTCTATTACTTATTACTATTTATTATTTGATGATTGGTGTCAACTCTTGCAACAGAAAACAATGTCCGAACTTCGAGAGGCCTGAGAAATTTTTTCCGAGCAAAATATTTAACAGGAACTGGATACTATCTAGTCAATAATCGCGGGAGAGCTGGACCTTCAGATTTAGCTATTTTAGACGGGAGCTAATTCGGAAACCTATAGGTTGGGATATACTTATATTACATTAAATTCAATATGATGATCCAGTTGCTTTTACATAAATAGTTATTTGCCTATTTATTATTTATGGTATTACAGAGCTAGTGGTAAATGCATACCATCAATAATTTATACTCTGCACAACGTTCTCAATAATTTATTTCAATCCTTCTTAAAACTTGGATATGAAGAACGGTTTATGGCGAGTCTGATTCAGAATAAAAACGTAATAATTGATCGAGAACTTTGCGATAACGGTTGGATTTTTAATAAAGACAATTATTTGAATTAATATTTGTTTGATCATTTGACGTGTGTTAAATATTGAAATGTGCTGAATGATTTAGGTAACAGAAGACTTATCTAATTTTGTTGAAATTTCTATTTCTTAGAACAATGTTTAGTAATCATGTGATCCACAACTCGCGAACGATAACATACTTAGTCTAGAGAACCAACATTTAGGTATGTCCTCACGAGTAAGTTCGATCAGTCTTGTACATAAATTGCGAGTGGGAGATCGTCATGTTCATATGCCACTGAAGATCTCTCGCTCTAATTCTAAAGGATCACCTCACAGATATAAAATAATTTTATTAATCCTAATCACAGGCTAAACAACATTTAAACTTTTTTCGAAAGTGCGCAGCCTTTTCGTAAGGCCGGGTATTAAATTTGCTTCTGTTACGCAGAATTAGTCTATGAACTACTTTTCTTGGTTTTCTAGCAATGTTTATCAGAATACTTTGTCGGCTTACGTAACCACGCTTGCACACATTCACTAATAAATCTCTATTTAAACCTTTCCTACAAAAAATCGCTCACTTGTTTGTTTACAAGTATACAGAAAACGGTTCCACAGCAGAACTCGATTTAATATTAAGGTCTTATCATTCGGATACACAACATTTTTTGCATATCGAGTCACGCGAACTGATCTTTATTACTGAATGCAATTTATATTAAACGAAAGAGATGTTGACAACTATTCACGTGTCCGAATTGATATTTTTGCGCTATTGTTTATGTAAGTTCACCTTGTGACGTTTTGATTTGGTCAAGCATTTCCATAAATAGTTGGATGAAGGGGGTGTCATTCCATATGAAGGAGCTCGGAAGTTTTTGAGCGAGCATGCAAACCGGTATACAAACTTGGCGCTGGGATTTCTCTCGTATAAGTTTGGTAATTTCTCTTTTATCGTTAGTATTAGTAACGATATCACGTTCAAATATCGGAAAATTGGATGATCGACATTAATTATGATCGTGTCAGCCGACAACAATAAAAAACACACGTCAAATGTGATTGGATATTAGCATACAAAGTCAGTCCCGAAATAAACAAATATTTCTGATGTTTGCTCTGTCCGCCATTTGAAAACGCTCTTTCAGCCACACTATCACATCACATGAACTTGTATTACTTGCAAGCTGGTGGCAAGCAAGTTTTTTTTAATCTCGTGGATTATATTTATATTGCCCCAAAACTGCCCAGTAATAGTAATAGTAATAATATGTAAACGTCGACACTTTACAACTCAACAACATTGCTTTACCTGCTTGCTTAACCATTACATTCCCTCTGTCTTATAATTTATTTCCTTGCATCTCCCCCCCCACTTTCATAATGCCCGTCGCTTGGTCTCTCAATTCCAATCCATTCGACTCACTTCCCGCGGAGGTTATGGAGTTCATATTCCACTCGGTTGTGTCCGAATACGACCGTCATTCGTGTGAATTCTACATTCAGGGACCTCGCAAGCGTCAACTGATGCGAATGTCCCTCGCATGCAAATTATTTGCTGGAATATCTTTGCGGCAGTTATGGGAAACTATTTTTGATGGAGATTTCAAGCTGGAAATCTTTAAGAGTCTGCTAAAATCCTTGCCTCTCGACGCTAGACGGGAGTTGGGTATTCACGAACTGCTTCCCGAAAACTCGTATGCCCCGTATAGCGAGTTTGTAAGGTCTGTCTCATTAGAGAAGTTGTTTTATTATATCGATGAGTGGCTCGAACAAGTCCCTCAAAGCTCTCCCATCACGAATACACCCGATATGCAAAGGAAAATTGTTCATGCAATATTTAAACAATTCATGACTAATGGAAGACCACTTGAGAAGCTTCGTTCGGTGGGCTTCCATGAAAATCTGAATTACCGGGTTATCCTAGACGAGTTCTTTTCGAGTTGGATTAAAGATATACATATCTTGGTTATCAGAGGGTCGTATGATATTACTCCTCTAGTGAGTAGATTGGCAGAAAGATGTACAACTATTGTAAGTATGCGTTGCTGCAAATGCTCTTGATGATTTCTATTGAGTGATCAATGATCAAATTGGAAAACTGATTATATATTCGATTATTTCACACTTTACATTATCGCGTGTCGATTCAGTCCAAGATCGTTTTCAGCTTTTATTATTTCGGTCAGACTCCCTTTGCTAGAAACATGAGATCAGCCCTGAAATTGATACAAGCCCAAACCAAACTCCAATCTCTCATCTGGAATGGTATCCACGGAAAGCAAAGAATTGACGGGAGTTTTGTTTTCGAAGATATTATCGAAAATGTAGAAGAGAATAGTGACATTCTCGGAAACGACCCTACCGAAATACTTTCTGCCCTACCTGCTCACGCTCATACCCTTACCTATCTTCGGATCGCAAATATGGATTTTAAAAAGGTACAATCGTTGGAAGATTTAGCAGCTTGTCGTAACTTGGAAACTATTGCTTTTATACACTGTACAAATATTAATAACGAGGCGATTCAACCAATGATGGATCAAATATTTACCAAGTTAAGAATGGTTGAATTGTCCTATTGTACAAATTTCAATGCAATGGAGGAATTCGCGCGGATGCGTGGAGTTCTTCGCAAAAAATGGAATAGAGATATAATGGCCCTGTGGACGTAGGATGAAGAGAATTTGCGTCCTCTAATATATTGAACGCTAGAAGGTTTCGAATATTTGGCCTTTTAGATATTTATTTAATAACTACATAAGCTTTTTTGTATTGTAGCATAGATTCATTCATATCAATTGGATTGTTTGTTACAACATTCGATGGTATTTCTGGTTTTTGAGATTTTCTTCTCCCGTGTAAGTATATATATAAATATATAAATATATAAATAAATAAATATCGTGTAAATGGTTTTTATCGAATATGCCAATTGATTGCACTTTATCGTTTGCGTACGAAGAACGTTCGCTGAGTGTGTTGAGTTGCTGTGACTTTTTATCGGACTTGGCTATGTTAATCACATTACATATATTATATAGAACGAAGCTATCTTGACTTATCCCATCCAGCATAACAAAGATTATTACGTTAGGTCACCAAAAGTACAGCGCCCATAGGAATTATACCCTCCCCTTTCGTATATATCAAAAGTCTTGTATCAACTATTGTTGATAATTCTACGTCTATCATTAAATAGTTCGAATATTGTTGAGAGCCAGCAATCAATCATAAATGGTGGTTCGAAAACCCTCAGTTTTGAGGAAACTCCTTTGTTTCTAGAGTTCTATGAAATAATCTGCAAAGGAATTGCAACCGAACTTTACATTGTTCATTTGCTTTTTCGTGATTGGCATTAGCATTTTATTGTGTCAAAGTCGATCCAAAAAAATGCTAATTATAATAATGTTAATAGAATTAGTACATTCATCAAAGTAACGTGGGTTTACAACCCGCATAAAACCAGAACCATTAAAAAGTCCGTGTTTGGAAGAGTCACCCTTTGTTACTTTTATTAGTCAACCCAAGAATAATAAAAATTAAAGACTACAATGTTGGACAATAAAAATCGCTTGTCTCCACAAGACCTCACATTATCATCTATTTGGCTTCCGCAGCCTTAGCAGCTCTTTGTGCTTTCAGAGCAGCAACGGTACCCTACAACCAAAAATGGTCCGACAATTATTATACACGTGAAAATTGTGACATGACAATACTACTCAATATTAACCTCACCTTCTTTGCAAAGCGTTGATTACGAAGAAACTTGGGATCAACCTAAAGTAACAAAGAGATTGTTAGACGTTTTCATGCAATATTCCCAGCATCGTAGCAAACGTTTAGATGAAGAGTAGGTTGTGGACGGTACCCCTTTGAGAGATGGATATCTATAACTCTTTGGTTTCTTAATACCATTACGATGAGCCTTGCGATCTATCGTTCGATGCAATCATAAGATGAGCTTTCTATACGAATAATAGACAATCTGGATTTTAAATATTACACTTACTTTGATTGTGATTTGTATGATTCTTGCTTTTGGCTAACGATTGATCAATGAATGAAAGAATGCCATTAATAACTAACTCGTAAATCGTTCTAATGAAAAAAGATAGTATAATAAATAGACGTACCCATTGCGCTCGAAAGTTCTATTCGATAAGTACAGCGTAATATATAATGAAGGGAAAGGCGGATTTAGTCGAATTTCTATGATAACTTGATATTAGAGGTATATTCAAGTATTTTACGTTATGACACTAACAGAGCCTGTCTTGTTGTCCTAAAGTTGCAAATGGACCTCCTGATATTATATCTATTACCGTGACATACCTTTTCAAGATTGCAACGAAATAGTAAGTGCAAAGTCTGCACGAAAAATTTTATTTTATCTCACTATGCAAAAGTCACATGTCTACACCGGTGATTGCAATTGGCGAAAAATATTATTATGGACAATACAGCATTTTTTTTGACTAGTATAAGATGGCCAACGAGGAGAAAATTTTCTCAACAGTTTATGATAATGAACTGTGTTAACAACAGTAAACTTTAAAGCGAGAGACAAGGCTTTCGAACCATCTCGAATGTTTTATTACAACATCTTTCACCCAAGATACCGTTTAAGACATTAACAAATAACCTTATATTTAGAAAACTTGGCACATAATGGATTGACTTGTTCAGATGCAAGAGTTATGTTTATTGGTATTTTGTAGGAATAGTTGAGCTATTCAAACTATCGCAAGTATCAGCGATTGATAATCTCTCCCAAGATGCTTGTCCCAGAAGATACTTACGCTAGTCTTCTATCTGACTTGTTCCTACTAAAGAAGAAAAAGGGAAGAAAAAAAAATCATTAGGTTCCAGTCGGTTAATGGAATTACCATCTTGTTCAGAAACAAAGAAATCAGTTGAACTATTATCTCATTTATGAGTCGAAATGAGCTGGGTTAGAAGCATGTAATTCATCATCTACTCGGTAGTGTCAAATAAGATTGTCAAGCAGAACTCACCCTTTTTTGCTATCGGTGAGAAGGAAAATAATTGCACTGATGACGGATTGATAAGAGATCACATTCCGAGGCAGTGTAACCGCCCGCACACAGTATTTAATATTAACGTACCCTGTTCGGGCTTACAATGAGCATTCGCTTTCCCATGCCGTACCTTCCATAAATGTAGTAGTCAATAGTAATTCGTCTCGAAGACAATCCCGTGACAATATTCCCAGGAGCGTTAAACATATATATTAATATCTCGTCTCTTTTCACACGGACAGCTCGCATACTATTGTATATATTATTCCGTCCTCGTCCGCACGGAGCATCAATAACAGTATTTGGTAATAAAGTTTTAAAGCCAAAAAACTCTCGGTATGAGTGCGGACGATTCTAATGACAGTGGCCAAAACACAAGAACACTGACGCCAACAATGGCCTCGGCGAATACAAGCGATTTTTTGACAGGACGTAACAATGAAAGTGAAAGCGAGCATCAATCAGCTTTACCATATAATGACGTTCAATCGCGCGATAAGGTTAATAAGCGAAATAAGAGTTTTAGTAACCCCGATGATGAAAAGAAATCTCTCAAAAAACAAATCAAGCAGTTACAGGCAACAATCCAGAACCTCAACGCTTCAATGCAGAATAATTCAAGCTTGCTCTCGGAAAAGGACATTGGATTACATAAACTTATGGCTTTGAATACCGAACTCGAAAAATACAATACTAGCTTGCGCGAACGGGTGGAGTCGCTCGAGAAGCAAGTAGACACGCTCGCGAAACAGAAAGAGGAATTCAAGGAAGAAGCATCTAGGTATCAGTCGGCTCTCGGCGATGCGACTAGTCTCACCTTCAAAGAAGATGATCCCAATAACCCAATATTTTTGAAACGCTATATACAAGTATTAGAAAAGAAGCTTGATAACCTTGCCAGGACAAAAGGCGCGATGATAACCGTTAATTCTTCCGAGTCAACAAAGTTGGTTAATAGATATCTGCATCCTTACAAAATGCAAGAGGACGCAGATAAGGTCTTGATTAAAGCCGCTTTACAACGAATGGTTACCGAGAAAACTTTGAAAAAGACAGCTGTCGCACACAAAAAGGCTATACTTCCCAAAGGGAGCACGCCAAACAAAGAAACATCCACGCTCGAGTTTGGCATAGCTCAGGCAACCGAAACTCTTTGTACCATGATTGCTCAATTCATTTCTGATAACAAAATAAGTGATAATATTGCAGATTTGGTCCCAGCTAAAATCCGACAACAGATATACAGTCTGCTCGGAACCCATGCGTTTACCGATGCGAACCATCCATTCATCCAGGAACTCTCAGTGGAAGTATTAAACATTCTCGATAAATACCGTACAAACGAAAAAGATACACGAGAAAAGCAGCTCTCACAGATAAATGATACAATCCGTGCTTTGATTCGTGTACTGTACTTCCGTCCAAAGGTATTTGGAAATGCTAAAATCGAATTCGTCCAGTCTGGGATCGAATTTGACGACGCTCTTATGAGAGGTGCTCAATTAGACGAGGATGATTCAGAGGAGAGCGTACTAGTGGCTCTATGCGCATTGCCTATGGTATATAAGGAACAGAACAAAGAGGGAAACATCATCTATGGTAGAGCAAAAGTGTCGCTGAGAAAGAAAAATGATGAGAGGTTTGAGATGAAAGCAGGCGACGAGGTGGAAGAGGTGGATAGTGATGATAACAAAGAAGAGGAAGTAAGCGGTAGTGATGGCGATAGTAGACATGAGGTGAAAGGAGGCTTAAAGTCAGAGTTGGGGGATAGTTATGTCAATGTGCAGGAAGAACCAGGAAATCATATGCAATCTAAAAACGGGACACAGGATTCATCCGCGATTCAGAGTGAGATCGAACCGAACGTACAAACAACAAATGGAGCTTTAGGCACGACTACCACAAAAAGGCCTCGTTCTGCGAGTGAGGAAGATCTCTACGAAACCTCCAGTATGTCAATCTTACTTCGTTCTTCTTTCCGTGCAGTAGTTAGTCTTTTCGTTCGTGTTTGCATCGGCATGCTGAAGCTATTATGTTCCGATGCATCGCATAGATTTCTGCGACAAATTATTCATCAGAGACTCGGATGATTCTGACCCTGACTCTGACTCTCACTTAATGTTTTGTCTATGTATGTAACTGACAGAAACGTATAATGGCCAATATAGATCAACAACAGAAAAGAGTGAAGACGTGGAAAACACTCGGAAACCAATAAAACAACAGAAAAGAAGTGTTATGAATCACATAAGGCAAAAAGTTACGAAATTTTTTTATTCAAAAAGAAATAGATGAGAATATAACCTTCGGCCCCCTCTCCAAGGATTGTACTCTCATGAGTTAAGCATAAGTGCATCTTGCGGGGAAAAAAAATTTTTTTTTTTTTTTTGCGTAGTGTATAATAATGTTTTCGGTTTCTGTTGGTTGTATTGTATTGTTTAAAAAACTCCCGTTATAGCTCTCGCCCAAAAGAGTTTTCTTTCAGTGGTTGATAATAATATCTTCTATGTATCAATATTCCACTGCCCGTTGGTCTGTTATCTGTTCAATATTTTGTATATCATTTTTTGTTCTTTTTCGTTTCTCTGCTTGTCCTTTACAGGCTTTTATCTTTTCTTTTTCCTATTGCTTCTAATCTCTGTATTCCCTCTTCCAATCTTAATGTAACGTTAACTCGTCCTTACCAGTTGCGTTTCCATCGTCCATCTCTGATTTGTATCTTACTCATCAAACGTTATGAGATTAAAATTATCTCCTGTTACTCGTTCGATCGTTTGGTAATATGTAAACATTGTCAAGGACACCATCAACGTATGCAAGAATCGCCTCAAAATGTGACTGCTTCATACCCGACTTGTTGATGAACTTTAGACTGTTGTTACTGATACTAGTCAGTGCCAGCTTCCCTAACCTCCTAAATAGCTCAAACATCCATGTGGCACGTTTAATTGTGTCTTCAATGGCATGCTCAGAATCACCCAACATCTTTGCTAATTCCTTGGCTGGAATGCGATCCCCGATACTTCGAAATGCGTGAATATAACCACCAAGTCGATGGAGAGCACGAAGTTTTTTATACCGTGGTGTATCAGGGTCGGCGTATTTTTGGTATTCATCGACGAAATCTGTAACAAACTGGTCTTGCGAGATGACTTCCGGCGTTTCAGGTCGGGGATTGTTGGATTCTTGTAAAGCTGCGCGGATATATGTACAGAGTTCGCGGTATTGACTGTTGGATAATGCTTTACGACAGAGTTCAGGTATGTCCTCGGTGTAACGGGGTGGTGGTGGACGAGTTTGAGCGGTTTGATGCGAAGTGAAGAAACGGTTTTCTCGTGATTCTCGATCTTGTGGGAACCAATCATTTCTCGACGTCCGCTGTGCTTCATGTTTTTTCCTTCCTCCTCCCACCACACCGGAATTGTATCTTGTATATGGCATTTGCTCGTAAATAGTTTCTTGTGGCTCATCAAAAATTTCTTCTGGATTGTAAATAATTTCTGGTGACTGCTCGTAGATGTCTGGTCCTTCGTCAACCAGTCTTCTGGGAATAAATTCCGGCTGCTGTACTGGTTCGTACATCATTTCTTGCGAATCCTTGTTCCTCACGTCATCAAATTGGTACCATACTGGCTTCTCAAGTGACGGTGACGGTGGCCTATCGTTATAGAGCGAATACGAATCGAAGGAATCATCATGTTGGCCTAAAAGTTGAGAACGGAGCGATGAAGTTTCTGACGATTTATATTCCTGCTGTGGGAAAACAGAGCGCTGAGGGGAAGGTTGATGCCTTACAGATGAAGTCTCATCACAATATGTGTCCGAATAATGTGTTGTTGAGAAATCGTCCGAGTGGTCTTTGCTCTGCTCAGATATAAGTTTGTTTTTTACATCATTATATCTACTATTGGCATCCAAATCCTGCCTACCTACATTCTGATAATTCGTCCTCTTACCATCGTCCTCGTCCTCGTCCAGCCTTTTTGCCAAGTTCAACTGTCCTTGAAATTTATCCAATACTTGTCTCAATGTCTTTATACTTTCCCCGACTTCTTCTTTTATGTCATCCGGTTGTAATTGTATACCTTTCTCGGCGAATTCGCCGAAGATAAACTGTAAATTAGGCCGAAAGATGATTCTTATTGATGAGTGTCCAGCGACATAGAGCTCGTGAATCATAGCAGAGAGCAGTGCGGTTGAGAAGGGAAATTGTAGCGGACCTTCGGAAGTCGTCATTATGAGATTTTAATGGGATAAAGTACAACATGATCGTTTGATCGTTGAAAAAGAGTGTGGAGAAAACCACATGATCGTGATACCTTGAATGCTATGACCCACATTCTAATGTTGGTCACAGTCATGCGATTTTGGTATCGGTTACAGATTTGTGTAATAGTAACAACGTGCGGTAAAAAATGCTCAGGTAATAATAATAATATCACGTAACTACTTTGGAAAAAAAAAAGTCCAATTGAGCATTGATAATAACCGCGAAATTCATTTAATTTTAATGTGGATCGCTCAGCCATAACCCAAACCAAGGTTTTTTGTCTATAAAATTTGCTACACCGTATTAGTATTAGTACAGTAACAGTAATTTGGTCGAGACAGACAGTGACTGTAGGGATTGTAATTTGTGCGGGACATACTTTGTTTTATTTAATTTATTCGTTAATGTGCTCTTCTAGCAGATTTTTTATAATTAGCATATAACCCGCAAATTACAGTCGCCAGAAATAAAGTATATTGGCTCCGTAAATTAAACGCGATTATGCACAGAATCAGCGCAAATTCTCTCATACATGCATAAAACAAAGAAAACAGCTAATGGTTTTACTGAATATGAAGAAGCCATGCGTTTCTTGGAGATAGGTTGCAATTGCGGTTGTACTGAATTACGTGAGGCGTTTCTAGATCCGAACAAGATATATTTTTAATGGCTCAACTGAAAGCAATGGATAGGGGAGTAATAAGTACCAGCCGACGTCTTAAAAGAAAATGCGTACTAATAAAAGAACTTTTATTATTGATATCGTAATGCCAGAAAACGTATCTTAATATGTTAGGGATTGGTCGTACTTATTTGTCATCTGGCAACGAATGGCATATACGTGGTAATGTAAAAGAGTGCCACGATGGAAAACCATATAACAATTGATAAAAACGTTGCTACAGCCATGAAGAAAATTATGCTAAAATACATGGATTACCGAGTCCTGGTAGAAATGTCAATCGCATTACCCAATCGCTTGTATTTTACCAGCAGAATCGAGTTATAAATCGGTCTATCGCGATTTTATCTCAGGCCTTGAAGATAATAGCACGTTGAAAATTTTAAAATATGATGCATTCCGCAAGTTATGACACCAACTAACGCCTTATATTCAAATTATAAGTCCAAGAATGGATTTATGTGACGGTTTCGGAATGGCTTACAGTATAATGCTCGTAAGGAAGAGGAAGCGAAAGATTTACTATAAGAACATCTGGTTAAGGCCAAGTTAGAGAGAAACTATTACAGCAAAAATACGAAATTAGCAGAGAAACAAAAAATGAGCATTTATAACAAGAGATAAAGCTGATTACTGTAGCGTTGATACTATTGCTCATTACAGTTACGATTGAGCACAGAATGTTCACGTTCCGCATTCTGATCAACAGGTTATTATCTTAGTCCGCGTAAGTGCATTTATTTGGCATTCAGGATGAAGCAGTACGCGAACAAATTAATTACGTTCTCGATGAAGATTGTTTCTGATAATATCCAAACGATCAATTTTACAATACATATAGGCAACTAAGACATGTGCTAGTAAATGAAACGAAAGCTTGTCAAGAAGCTTTAGCGGCTAGATCACCTGGAATTCTCAACGTAATTCAAGGCTGGCTTTCGATTAAATTAGATAACTTACTGTATTGTTATTAGCATAGCTAACTGCCCTTTTTTTGCGCCATCACTGACTTGCTAACATTTTCCCATGACTTAGCTCTTTATTTATAAAATTTCTCGCGCATGAATTTTACGCGTTTTTAACTGTTTTACAATATCATAACCCTATTCTGTGTATTTAGACAATTCCAAGAAAAATTTACCTTGAAGAAGTTGAACCGTCGGATTAGTCGCTTGTTAATTTCCTAAGTTGGAGATTAAAGTTTTCTGATTTTTTAAACAAGGGTGTCGCCAGGAAAAGATCTTACTAATACAAGCTTATATGGAGATTCTACGGTGAAAAAGGCTCAAGAATTATTATCCGATATGCTTAAATTGTTATGATATAATATCTATTTTACTTTGTTATATTTGCGTGCCTTAATATTAATTAAGCTATCACACAACAACTCGGCATTTTTTCTTAAGTAATATAACGAACGCAAATGTTCATTAAAATGTTTGACGAGCCTTGATCGCCACTGTCTATTGCTGAACACATTGGTTGGCCCCTGAGCTAGATCAATGCATAAACCCCTGTTGTTTGCTCAGTTCGTTAACGGTAGCCACGGACAAGCCTTGAGCTTTGTGAGCTCTTGGTAAGATGCCACTGCCTATTGCTAAACACATTGATTGGCCCCTGAACTAGATCAATGCAGATTGTACTTTCGGATGTGATTTCATGTAATGTTGTGCATATTATTATACGTACGTATAAATTATATAAATTGACATTTTTCTATAGCTCAAGTATGTCGTCAATACAGTATCGCCTAAACGTACATAATAATAACCCCTTAAATTTTCCAGAAAAAAAGTATAACATAATGCATGATAACACACACTTTACAGGTTTGTAAACCATTTTTAAGGGAGTCAGATAAATTGTCAAACTTTTGATTTAAAATAATAATGTGCATAAGTATTAATACTCCTTCTAATTCGAAACAGAAACGAGTAAACGCTTTTGAAATTTCACTGCGTATAGTGTATCACAATGCATATGAAACGTATCCAAACCGCATTTGCTCTTTTTAGCATAAACTTCAAAAATCCATGTCCCCATACATTTCTAACCAAATTTCGTAATCTATTTTGTTTGTCAAATCTGTCTTTACAAATGGTAGTCGAATAAGATGGAAATCATGGTTTATAGTTGTGCAGGATATCATTAGTATCATCATGTCGCACGATTCTGTAGTAGCAACCACAACAGTAATTCGTTCAATAATTATATAAATGCATTCTACTAATGCGTAAAAACAAAATAAAAAAAAAAACTTTACGAAATTTTGTTAGAAAAGTGTCGAGATATGAATTCTTGAAGCTTTATGACCAAAATCGCGCATAGGCATGATACATCTTGAAGTAAAACTTTGGACGTTTGAAAATTTTACTGAAGACATCCGATTGAGTTGAACTTTTACAGGTAATCTAGGTTTATAATGCCTATTTGCAGGAAAATTCTCAAAGCGTTTACTCATTTGTATCCCGAATTAGAGGCGGTAGGATACTTATAATTGCTACTGTAAATCTGAAGAAGCGACGATTCACTCCGATCTTATTGGAAGAAGATGGTATCAGATCCTAAAAAACGAATTGAAATCTAAGAGAGAATATACATCAGAGCTCACAAAAAAGGCATTGACTCAAAAACAAAAGCGACATCAAACAAGATCTGGAAGACTATTCCAGACAAGAATCTGATCAAGAATATGAGCCTGAAAAAGTATGCAATATTAATATGTCATATTGATCCCTGATGGTGGGTGGGGTAGTTGCAGACAAAATTTATCAAATGTATATTTTTTCAAAACCCCCAAGAATAGGAACACTCATTTATTGGCTTTGGATCCAAGCAATTTCCTCCCATGCAAGTGTTACGGTCGGGAATTAAATTGGGGTTTTGGGAGAGCGATTTATCTTTTCGTGTAGGTGTGTTCGCCGACCGGG